CTGTCAAAAATTCCATTTTATACCGTTTTGTACTAAAAATTCCGTTTTATTCATATCTATATATATATGAATTTTTCCGTGTCCCTGTGTACCGGGCACGGGCATTTGTAGAACCCTAAATATGTATGGTTGGTGCTTGTTATAAAAACGGAATCGGAGTCGAGAGAAATGATCACAAGAATTTTGATATTTTCAAAAACTATCAACAAGAACTATGCATATCGGCGAATTTGTGGAATTTGATAAAATATAAAAATAGTATCTCTAGTTAAATTTGCAGATCATTTGGCCAGGTTGAAATTAAAGCTGCCATATGATTTGCAAATTTGACCAGAGTTACGGCTCATCTATTTTATCAAATTCCACAAATCCGCCAATATGGATATCGCAATATTATTTGTTATCGATGTGGAATTGGTGTAGAGAAGGATAAACGCAATGCCTTCGGGTATTATAAAAGATCTGCTGATCCGAATAATTTAACGAACTAGATCTATGTTACAGAAACGACATCGAAACACAGATGGATATAGAAAGAGCCAATTATTGGTTCGAATGAAAAAAAAAAGATTTGGCTAATACTAAATATCAATTATTTTGGATGACGAATTTAAAAATATTAAATTTAATTGGTTAAAAATTTTAAGCCTTATATAAGACGTCAAAAACAAATTTGATTGATTAAAAATAATATTATATATAAAAACATTAGACCACGTATAGTATGAATTGGACAAAAAATTTCTACTGATGTTACTTCTGCGCTTAAGGAATTTCATAATAACGATTATTTGAATAAGATAATATTGCTTATTTTAATTTATATTTTTATTATTAAAAAATAATTTTATTATTTAACGAAATCGGGTACGGAATATCAAGAAATAAAGAAGAAAATCCTTTCTAGTTTTTCTACAGTACGTCAAAACCTTACATCAATAAAACGATGAAATGGAAAGGTAGATTAGGTTTATTATTTAGCATAGCTTCTGACCTTTAGATAGTTCATTCCCAAGGAATTGTTTATCGAGATCTGCACAGTGGTGTTAGAACTAAGTGCCATCAACTGATGTTACTATTGACCCTATACCTTATCTATCTCTCAATAAGTATCAAAAGAAAGTGGGAAAGGCCCATCAGAACGTTGTTACAATTAGCCCGTTATAGGAGCCGCCGAATGAAATTGTTGATCTATGCGTATAATCTTGGAGAACTTAGCTGAAAGATACGTACGTAGCTATTCAGAACATTCCAGTCTATTATTGAAGAGCGTCGATTCGTGCATATGACCTTTATCTGTTATGATACAGATAGAGTTGGGATCCGCGAATATCCAATTAAAACAAATATTCTGTTACACAAAATTCGTGAATAGTTGAAGATTAGATTGTATTAGATTGTGAATATTCAAAGAATACTTAAATTACACAAACTTCACGAATAGTCATGAATATTCGATGAATATTTGTTTAGAATTAAAATAAACAGAATATTCAATGAATATCAGATTTTCTTATGGGTATTCATGAAGATTCATGTAAAATCCGGATATTCGTTCATTACTATTCACGGATGACTAAAATCCGGGAATATTTATTGAATAGTCATGATGGGTATTCAAAGGATCCCAGCTCTAGATACAGATGCGATATATCGAACTACCTGCGAATGCTTGATCAATTAAGCACCAGTGATTTTACTTATACAGTATTATTAGGGACTAAACATAACCCGAAGCAGGTGTGGGTAGTACCCAAGGAATACTCCAAGTTGGTATATGTTATTCGCGGAGCTCATAAATAAGGAAGGAGGAGTTTTATCCAAAATCTTGTTATATTATCTGACCTCACGGTCATGTATGTCCGTTGGATCATAAGACTATTATGGCACAAATCAGTTGTGAATACAAAGATCAAAAGGATGATAGATTTATTAGTTCTTAAAGAAGTAGTATAGTAGTATATTTATTATCTCTATTATTTGGGCAAAAAGGGACCAAATTGACAAAACAAAAGATCCTCGGAAAATCAATTTATATGTTATAAATCTTATAATAAATCATAAGAAAAAGCAAACTTTAAAAAGCAATATAGCAAAATTTTATTAATACAACTACTTTTGCGTCTTAAGTAAAAAAATGATCCTAATCTTTATTCTAAATTGATTTATATAAAAAATAACTTTCGAAAAATTGTCAATTTGGTCCCTTTTTGCAACACCTAGCCCATTTGTATTAGCTATACTAGGTCATATAATTGACCCAACCCATATTGATAGTTAAAGTTGATATAAATTTAATATAAATTTAATATATATATAGAAAATTTTAGTTAGTTTAGCTGATATTAATGAGGTTTATAATTTAAAAGAAATCTGATATTCGTGTCTTCATACACAGATAAACACATAATTCAATCGTTAAGTATCTTGATCACATGACTTTCATGAGGCGATTTCACGATTTCACTTGTTGGGTCATCCTATACGACTTCATATACGCTTAGCCATGGCCTCTTTCATAAAAGCAAATTAAACAATCATCTTAACATATAAAGTATTCGATATTTATTCATATTATATACGATTACGAAGTATTTAATTACCATTATTGTCTAGTTTCCTTAGGCCATGCAAAGTTGATTTTTCGTTTTGCATTACATGGATTTCAAAATTAGGGACGGACGGACGGACGGATTTTTTATTTTTTATTTTTTGTATTTTTTTTAAATTCAATTTACTGCAAATAGAATAATGATCAAATTTAAGGTTATATTTGCACAACAAAGAATCAAAAAATTGGGCCGGCAGTCATATTTTTCCTGTCAGTCCTATCGGACAATTACGGGAAATTAAGGTCTCCATCGGGTGATGCTGGATGAAAATAGCGGAAGAAAATAGATGTCAAAAATCGAACAATTGGCATAATTGGGATCTAAAAAAAAAAAAAAATTTTTTTGAAAAATTGAAAAAATGGGACGGCGGGTAATGCAAAACGAAAAATCAACTTTGCGTGGCCTTAAGCCTATAAGAGGTGGTTTGAGCATAAGGCCGGTCCAATTTAATTCGGTGCTTTATATTGCCCCTCTCTCTCTCTCTTAGTAAAAAAAACTTTGGTATATATGATTTTGGGAGGAGGGTGAGGGAGAAGGGAGAGGAGGGGAAGGAGGAGGGGTTGAACGTATTATATACGTATTTTAGGTCTACATCGGAAATTCTCGGTCGTTACAAGCTTTATAAATATTTTTACTAGAAAAATTTTTTTACTATGAAGAAGAGGGAAGAGAGGGGGGGTAATGTAAAACAGAGAATCAATTTGGTCTGGCCTAACCATCATACGTAACTTATATTAAAAATTTTAATAAAATAATATACTGTATAACTTAGATTTTGATTTTGTTGATTATAATTCTCATTACAATTGCGGCAGTTACTAATAAAATCTTGGTTGTTTGGAATTATTAGTATTTATTATGAAAGCTTATCTTATATTCTATATTTTAAGATTTTTTAGTTGGCAAGAATAATCTTTGCCATAAATTTTCGTACAGGATAAACACACCAAACATATATACTGGCAAGCGAAAACTTAATTTTAAATGTGCTGATATTGTAGTTCAGAATTCTATCGATGTATTGAAGAATATATATTAATCATGCCCCAAATAAAAGTTTTATCACTGTCGAGTCAAACACCTATCGGATCGGCCAAATAACCATTCGGTCAATTTTCTACCTGATGTCCCAAAATTTATGAAAACAGCTGTAACTATTTTATGTGATCAGGCTGCCGGCTCGTGACTGAAACGGCTTAACTTAACCGGTTTAATATTCCTAATCACTAGGCAGAGTTGGCAATGAGACAAATGGACCCAACGGAGGATTTAAACGAAGCTCAATAGGTACTTTGCTGTTGAGTTCAATTTGAATTTTTCCACATTGCCAACCTCTCTATAGTCGCTTCCTTTATAAGCACATCGTATAAAACTCTCTTTAAAAGTGCACTTATTTTAACGATAAAAATAGAAAAATCCATATAACGATAAGCACGATCCCACTTTTTATGTACTGTACATTACCTGATAGAAATTCGATTGGTATATTTAATGGACAATATAGCAATAGATCGGAGTAGAGGCGTTCTCCGCTATGTTTCAGACAATTATTGTCATTATTTTTACTATTATGTAGTTACTAAATTTATTTCATAATGAAAATTAGAATATTTGTTTTTTTTGCAGTTCTATTTGTAAATAAAATGTAATCAGGCTATCTTCCGAAAATTTAACGGTGTATGATATCTTTCTGTACACTACTGCACTACTGCACTATCGGTTATGTACAATTATGTGGTTACGTTTTCATACTAACATTTTTGAATCTCTTCTAATATTAATTTAAACCCATGTAGGTTAAGGTGACTATGAAAGTAATTAGTGTCATGAGTCCTATACTCACACATTTTCAAAGTGATATCAATCAATATAATTTAGTTTTGCTTTGAGCAATAATGACGCAATGTTGTAGACCGATAATTATGACAAATGTGAGATTTTTTGTTATATTGTAAAAGTAAATTAAATAATGAATCAATAAACTTATTAAAAATGAAAATAAAAAAGAAAAAAAAGAAAAAAAAAAGAATACTTTAGAATAACAACTATTATTTTTTAACAAAAAAAAGCAAAAAAACAATGTGGCTAAATATGTTCATAAAGATATGTAGAGAAAGGATTTGCTAAAGTTACTCAAAAGGATCGGAAATTGCCGATTATTTTATCTCCTGTGTACATATATATACTGTACGTGCGACCGGCAACTAAACAAAGACTAACTCGATAGCTATAAATAATTTAATGATCACGACACCAATTGAAACTCCGTATCTCCGAATAAATTTGGTTGATAGGCCAGATTTTCTCTTAAATTTTTTAGGATTAATTTTAATATATATATATATATGTAATAATTTATCAAATTGCTAATTCAGTTTATTTATTGAAATGGAATCAAAACAACGTGATCATTTAGGTTCAAACGATGAAAGCAATAATTTAGGATTAAATTTTTCGCAAGAATCTAATGAAAACAATGAAATCGACAACGAAAATTTCAGTAACCAACAGCCTAGCTTGTTTGATAAGGAAGAATTTAATGGAATAGGCAATGATTTGAATTTTAATCAACAGGACTTTAACGAAGTGCTTGATGTTATCAATAAAGATATCGATAAAGACGAGGACAATAATGAATTAAACAACATTGAAAAAGGAAAAAATACTGAATTTAGTGTCGATGAAAGTTTAAGTAATAATACAGATGGATCAAAATTTACTCAGAACAATCGAACTCAAAGCTCCGAGCGTAGTAATGGTACTGCTGCTGAAGGGTCAAATCAAACTCAACCTCAAGCTAGAAGAAGATTTAATTTATTAAAACAAATTTTACCTTCTTCTTGGCGTGATAATGATTCGTCTGATGCTGTCAAAGTTGTATTTCATGTACACCTTCCATCTGCTATAGAAAATAAAGGTGATCCAGTCGTAGTAGGTAATATTAAAGAATTAGGAAAGTGGAAGGAGCCAATTGTTCAACTTCAACAACCATATCGGCATCATAACTCAACATATTGGATATCGGAACCAGTGTCAATACCAATTTCCGCTTTTGATGAAGGTATTAGATATAGGTACGCTGTTTATGTTCCCCGAAAAACAGACAAAAAAAATAAAGAATTAGGTGACCTTTATCAAGAATCTGGTATCAAAAATGACTTTCGTTTCTTGGAAAAAATCAAAGGTGGCAATCAGTTTGATATAGTAGATGAAATAGTAATTGATGGTAGTAGAAGCTACATCAGAGACTTCAGAGATATTCGAGATTTTGAATTTATAGATTATATCTATCAATCGCTGACCTCTGAAAATATCAAGGAAAAAATTTTAGAGTTTCAAGATATCTTGAACAAATTTTCTATGTTAACTATGGCTGCCACCAGTCTTTCATTTATTGAAGATAATCTTCTGGAGACAAAATCAAAAGAAAAACGTATTTTCTTATGTGTTATTTTGGGATATTATGTTCAAGATCGTCAAACATATTCACTTGCTAATTATTATTCTTTACGTAAGACTTTCCCTTCAACTCTATTCATTGAATGTCTTGAAAAATTTCAACCTGATAATATACCCGAAAAAGCACATGAGGCACTTTTAATAGCTATCTCTGCATTGGTTCGGCATAATGCTTTTAACAGTTCAATTGATTGGCTTAAAATGTTTGCTATTGCTCATACGGTTGATCCAAATTATTCGTTTATAGATGCTTTGATAGATTTGAGGTATAATGAAGAAACCATGCAAAAATTTGTCAAGAATTATCTTCCCAAACAAGTAGTGCCATACATTACTAGTATTGAAAATAATAAAACATATGCTAGGGTAGCTGATGTAAGATTTTAAATCGAAATTTCAAATAATTTATAATAAATTATATTTATATATATAAATAACCTTTTTCTTTCTTTATAACATTGCAGTGGTTGATCCGTATGTGTTGTAATATCGATCTGCTCTTAAACGTTTGGGTGGATATTATTGAACACACTCCAGAAAGAGATGAATTGCTTCGCAAACCTTTTCTTACTCGTGTTCAGGCAATTATCTCAACTGGTGATGCATCGGGCTTAATGAAATATCTTGATAAAGTACCTGTTGAACTTCGAAACGAAGTTGCTGAGGCATTCCGTAAACGAACTATACAATTATTAGGTCATAATTATCATGAATGGAATAAACAAAATTCAAATTCGATTCAAAATATTTTATTAAATTCTCAACTTAATTGGACTAAAGAAGATTTTCTTGAAGCACTTCGTCAAGTTTCATTATCATCAAAGGCGAATTTATTAATAATATTTCCGAAGCTTCTTCAATTTTGGTTTAATTTCGATGATATAAGTGATGAAATATCAGAAGTAGTTCTTGAAATATGTAATCAATGGTATCAGCAATTCTTGGATCATTTTAATGACAATACATCAAAAGCGCCCGTTGATGATCGGAATTTTGCTTATGCTGTTCTTGACAATTTATCTCAAATTTATCCTATTATTGGAAGTCATCAAAATATTTTTACGCAATTGATTGGTATTGCCGTAGATCGTGTTAAACAGTGTTCAGAAAATCAAATTTTAAAAGCAACATCTCTTGTTATTAAAACCGAGCCTATTATTTACATGCAATTTGGTGAAATGGTCAAAGGCATATTAAAAATTTCTGTTAGAGAGGCAGACGACAATCTTTTAACAAAAATGCAATATATTTGTGGTTGTAATTCAAGGATTCTTAAGATACCTCATGAGTAAGTACTACTTGTACGGAATGACATATGCCCTATATGCTTTAAGCATGTATAATGATTAATTTATTTAATTCTTTTTTGTATAGATTAATCGAAGAAATTATATGTTATACCATGGAGAGATTACAAAAAAATTACCCTATTTCACAAGACAATATAGCTTCTACAGTAATACGTCTACTTCGTTCTGCAAAATTCTGGACATTACTTCTTCATGCAACTGGTCACGTTGAACGATTGAATGAACATCAATATGTGATTCAAGCTAAAGAAATAATATTTAAATTTTCCGAGATTATTAAAACAGAATCAATTTCTATTTGGTCTTTGCAAGAACTTCTGCAATATAATGATGAAACGTTATACCAATTTTTTGATTCTGCTAAAAGAGATTCAAATTCTATCATACTGAGTAAAGAAGGTATACGTAAACTTCGTAAACAATGTGAAAGTTATGAATTAATATTGGACCAACTTCGGATTTTTTACACGCAATTTTGTCCACTTGGAAAGGTCAAAGATGTTCAACAATATCTTGATGATATGAATTCTCGTACAAAACAATTGCGGAATATTACGCTCAAAGAATCACAAGAACTTAATCATTGGGAATATCACGAAAAAACCAGAAATGCTGCAGAACTTGTTTATAAACCATCAAAATCCCAAACATTTCGTAACATTTTTGAGATCATCATACAAGATGCCAAAGAAGATTTGACGGTAGAAGCAGTTGCACAAACCTTGATTCCACAAGTATTTGAGAGATATAAAAAATCATGCTGCGAATACGCAAGGTGGGAAGAACTTACATGCTCCAAAGGCAGCATTTTATGGAAGAACGTTTCAAACGTAAATCATGAGCTTGATATCATAGATGATTACATGAAAATGGAACGAAATCAAAAATTACTTGATACACTCACTCATCTTTCTCAATATCCAAAACAAATTGAAAGACTTAAGCAGTTAGCAGAGGTTGTAAAAATATTTAAAGTTACTCAGACGAATGATGATTTCATTTACAAATTTCAAATGTTATTTAAAGGAGATTACTTGTGGTTAGGAAAGTTGAATAATTTTTTTGACATTTACAATTCTCATCTTTCGATAATTGATGAAAATTGTTGGGAATTGATTAAAGAATTATCAGATGCCAGCGACTTTATAGTATTTCTTAGATCTGTGGCAGAGCATGATATTAAAAATTTGATTAATGGTGTGGATGATCATTCGGATGAACGTCTTATTCAAGAAGATACTGTATCATCACTTATTCAAGTCAAACAATTTTTGCTCCCATTACTTAATGCTAATTCCTTGTCTCTTAAGCAATTTTTACACGAATTACGAGGTATTACTGATGCAAATCCTTCTTTAGGTAGTAAAATAGCATTATGTAATAGCAGTAATATGGCATTACAAAATATGTATAATAATATTTCGAATCGAGGCGAAGTGACCAAAGAAAAGATACGTAATGCGGTAAAAAAAGGAACATATACATTCAAACGAGTAAGTAAAGATGATAAATGTTCTATAATGCTAACATATCCATCTAGCACCGAGTCCAAACCGTACAGCTTGAATGATTTGCATGATTTACGTGGACGAGCTCTTTTAATTTCTAAGCCTGGAAATGCAGTAGATTTAGCAGCGATTCACGGCGATGACGATGTAGCAAAGAATGTGATGGATGAATTTGTAGTACAGGTTGATTTGGCGAATGAGATTATAAACATTGCATCAAAATTAATTCAAATGGGACATTTTGGATATCGAGAATTTAGTAGAGATGCAAAAGGAACTGAAATTTTGCAAAAGTTGGAGCAAGAATTGAAAGAAGATTTAAAGCAATGGTAATGTTTTCTAATGTAAATTTCACTGTATCCTGCTATGTATTAACACCCAAGAAATGAACACCACCTCTAATTTGCTGCTTTATACCGTATAAGCGCGTAATAATGCACATGGTTTTTATTATGAAATTTCCACTTTTTTTAAAAAAAGCATACTTGACTCAAAAATAACGCACATGTCCATCTCAAAATAATGCGCTCCCATATATGTACCAGTGCGAAGCCGCAGGAAAGTTTTTGGTGTTATAACTTTTTCCCTAAAATTAATATAATAATTCGAATTGTCGCATTCCGAAATAACGCGTAGATACGCGTTATTACGCGCTTTTACGGTGTAATATTTATTGACAAAAACTGCCTTATGCTAAAAAGAAGGTCTTATTTGCGGCAGGACACGTTATTTTGTGATAATAAATATTAGTACTCATCAAAGTTCTTATATTTATATATATTACAGGGAAGATATGGTAAATAAGGCACAAGAAAAACATTACTATCTGACCTTCTTTCCTGCACGTCACATCCTTGCCTTTTATGATTATTTCACGAATAAAGATGATCCCAATAATGCAGAACAGATTCTTAACAACGAAGAATGCAATACGCTAATACGGTTTGTTAACAGTGAAGCTACGTTGCCACCACGCTCTGCAGAACTTATTATCTCAAATGACAAGCAAAATTATTATCAAATTCTTTGCCAAATTGGAACCAAATTACAAAACATTTTTGAAAGTGTACCTAAAAAAAAACGATATGTTAAAGACAAGGGTGGGCGCATTATGTCGGATGTTGTGTATCGAGGAAAGTTGTTTGTTGCTGCATGTAGCGATAAAAACCTTGTTCCTAATATTATCATGAGTTTGTATGTCAATCATGGGTAAGTTTGTGTGTTTCGTCTTCGATTTATTCAATTGAAAATTATTGCCAACACTTTTTAATATTGATTTTATTTCGTTTTTGACGTATTCAATTGAAAATTCTTGCCAACATTTTTAATATTAATATTATTATTTTTATTATTAGAACATTTCCTCAACCATGGCAGTTACTAATCTGTACATCCTCCACAACTATGGAAGAACTCGCAATTTTTATCAAGCGATGCTTCTTTGCCGCCAACAATGGGTATGATAAATACTTGTTTTGTATTGCGAACTTAGAATTACTTGACTTCGAACTGCAGTATAATCTTGTTAACAATATTCGATCGATGCGCAAAGAGCAAACTAATTATCATTTAGCACTTATCTGTTGTCGTGAAACCGGAATGCATCATCATATTTTGGATCAATTCTCACAAGACGTTTACGCAACAAATGGACTTGGAACTGAGGCCATGAAGGTGATTTATCATGAATTACGTCCCAACAATCTTTTGTGTTTGTCATCTGATTTGTCAGGTCAAGGCAAATCCGAGTATATTCGGCAACAAAGTTTTGGTCATAGAAAGGTTCCCAGGAGTTTTCTTATTAGTGATGACGTTGATTTTGGGACACTTGTTCATCGATTCAAGGAATTTAAGATTCGAACTGTTGAAAGTTTACATATAAACATTGTATCAGCTGATCATCCAGTGGATGTTAATATGTTTTTATTTGAATTGTTGACGTTGGGAGTGGTGTCAAACAATATGGACATAGCTTATCTTCCAGATACTGTGGTATTTATCGAAGTGGCATCAACAGTCAACCAAAATTTACTTAAATCTTTACCAATGGTTGGATGCCTTAAGAGTAAACATCTTACGTGGGACATAGGGGAACTCATGGTATCACAAGAGGTTAACAGTCCTATGCAAGTTGTATGTCATTACTTGCTTGCATATGACACTAATGAGATAGATAATAAGGATATCGTGTTTCATGTCACAGATAATGATACATCGCTCGTCCCATTAACATCTAGACAATGTCGACCACTTATCGAAAAATATCTATTTAAAAATAAAAATGTGGATGATATTTCTTCATTTAGATTTGTAGAAATTTTTGTAAATGTATTGGCAGATCAGTTGGTTCGATTGTCCTCAAGCTCATTTTTCGAGTGTGAAAATTTGAAATTAATGATAAAAGATACAAATATAAGGTCAACTTTAGTAAGCACCTTGATTGATGTCTCCAAAGATTTCGCCACAAGATCGGTAAAAACAAAGGCAGCGCAGCTAGAATCGACTTCAACTGATGAAGATGCACGATTGGGTACGATAGTACAATGGGATGATTCAAATCATTTATTAGTATTTTTCTTATCGCAAACACCGGATTCTATTTGCGCCTTGTACCGAGATAAAGTCAAAGTCCCACAGAATGTAAGAACTTTATTGAAAAGTCAACACATAGGAGACAAGAGTTGGGAACTAGAAGATTATCATGAGATGAATACAAAAGAACTTTTGGAGAAATTGGAATGCTTAGCTAGAAAAACAATGCATAAAATTGAGTATCCACCATATGCTTTATCTGCAGATAATTTAGTAAAGATGGCATTGATTTTGTTAAGGGCTCGTGCAAATATCCCAGTGGTTATTTGTGGCGAAGCAGGATGCGGAAAGGTAAATATGATTTTATAATTATTATCAAAATTTTAATCGTTATTGTTAACTATAAATTATTTTATGAATAGACGAGTTTAATTGGATTCCTGGCCAAAGTTGTGGAAGTTGAATTTCAACCGCTTAATCTTCATGCTGGAGTCACTGAAAATGCAATTCTAAAATTCATGAACGATGCACAAGAGAAAGCTGAGAACGGAGAAATATGGTTGTTCTTTGATGAAATCAATACTTGTAATCACATAGGTCTTCTTGCAGACTTAATAGCCCACAGGACGTTACTCGGTAAACAGATTCATTCTAATATCAGGATTTTTGCAGCATGCAACCCTTATAGAATCCGCACCAAAAGTCAAAGCGTTGTCGGGTTAAAAACTAATAAGAGATATGAAGAACAAAGCAATCTTGTATATCAAGTAAAGCCACTACCTGATCAAATTTTAGATTATGTTTGGGATTATGGCGTGTTGCAGCCAGAAGAAGAACATCGATATATTAAAATAATGGTATCTAACTCTTTAAAAAATTTTGATACCAAATGTTCAGTATTTGCAGATTTATTATTCGAATCTCAAGCATTCATCCGAGAGGTTGAGGAACCTTACAGTGTTAGTTTAAGAGATATAAAAAGAGCAATTACACTTGTAAATTTTTTTGCAGAAAGTTTACAAAATCGACCACCTGTTCGTAAGAATGCGCCCAGATATCCACCAATAGGAGAAATATCGATGCCGATAAGATGTTACATTCTTGCGTTGGGACTATGCTATCAATCTAGATTGTATGAACAATCTCTAAGAAAGAAATATCGAATAGCTATGGGGAAAATATTTAATCGTAATAGAATTAACATTGACGAGAAAGCATTTAATAGGGTTATAAGACAAGAACAAGATGATTATATTAATCGAATGACTTGCCCTCCAAATACTGCGAAAAACGAAGCCCTTTTGGAAAATGTTCTAGTAATGATTGTCTGTATTCTTACTAATATTCCGGTTTTTATTATCGGAGCCCCCGGGTAAGTAAAGATGATTCCTATGATTTATTTGTTAGTGATTATTTGAATTAATGTCAATGATTTTGTTTGTAGTTCTTCAAAATCTTTGGCTATTCGACTCGTTAGTCAAAATCTTCGTGGATCCGATTCAAATGATGAATATTTCAGAAAACTGCCGCAGGTATTTACAACCACATTTTAAAATCTGAAATTAGTATTCTTATTCATTACCATTTTTTTAACTAATATTTCCAATAAAAATTTATACTTTTATAGGTCTATCTTATCCCTCATCAAGGTTCATCATCCTCAACCTCAGATGGTATCCTTAAAGTTTTTCAAAAGGCGCAAAATTATCAGGAAACGAGTTCTAAAGAATTTCCTGTAATAAGTGTGGTTCTGCTTGATGAAGTTGGATTGGCCGAAACCAGTCCTTTTAATCCATTAAAAGTATTACATTCTTTGCTTGAACCAAGTTACCCTTCAGAAGGGCCGACCGTTTCTGTGGTTGGAATTTCTAATTGGAGACTAGATAATAGTAAAAGTAGTAGAGCCTTGTTAGTTCAAAGGTAAAGTTTTTTTTTTTGCACTGATTTACATAAATTTTATCACATGGTTCATTTTATATATTAATTGATGATTTATGTAATCGTAATTAGGCCCAAATTTGACCTTGAAGATCTTGTGGACACGGCTGTCCGCCTTCTCTATTCAAAAACAAATGGGCAAATTTCAAAAGCGTCACTTCAACCATTAGCTTCTGCTTATTTAGATTATGAACAAAATGGTCAATCGTTCCCAAATTTCCATGGACTTCGTGATTACTACGCTTTAGTAAAAAGTCTTTCTCTAGGTGATATGACACCTGAAAACATTCAGATGGCCCTTGTCCGTAATTTCGGAGGCACAGATCAAAACGCAATTTTGTGCGAAAAGTATTTTGGAGAAGTCCTAAGAACTTTTAATAATTCGAGAAATTGGACTTATAACCCAATTCCTGTTGAAAAGCTTATTAATGCAAATTTAGACGATGAAGGTGCAAGACATCTAATGGTTATTGGAAAAAGTGATTCTATTGTTAATTTGTTAACATATCAGTTGAGAAAAAGAAATTTGGATCCTGTTGTTATTTTGGGATCACAATTTCCTGATGATCAAGATGATTACTCATATAGCGTTTTGAGTAGGATTATGGTGTGTTTTTTTTTTCTTGATTCATTATTTAAATTATAAATTTTTGGTTCAAATTAAATTATATTTTATTTAAAGATGTGTGTGGAGGCAGGAAGACCATTGATTTTGACAGATTTGGAAATTATTTACGGAAGTCTTTACGATTTGTGGAATCAAAACTACATTGTTGTTGGTAGCGCCGATGATCCAAAATATTATACTAGAGTAGCACTTGGTGCTTATGCAAATCCTATGCTGTAAGTTCTACAAAATTTAATTTCTCCTATATGGTGGATAAGAATATACATTCTAACGCGTCTTATGTTTATAGCTATGTGGCGAAGACCTTTAGATGTATATTGGTACTTGATGAGAAAAAATTGAGGCATGCAGATCCACCACTTTTAAATCGATTTGAAAAACAAAAGATGACTATCAACGACACACTTACTAAGCACGAGGATGAGTTGGTTCAGCAATTATCTAATTGGACCAAACAAATGGTGACGATATTTGGAAAGAACACGTTCGATCCCAATACCAAATTTTCTCAAAAGGATCTTTTCATAGGATTCGATCCAGATGAAACCTTACAAAGTTTGGTCATTGATGTTAAAAAAAGTAATCCTTATAGCAGCGATGACGCGATTCTCGAACAATGTAAAGAAAATTTAATCGCCATTGCATCTTCTGATGGTATTATCCGAGCAGAAAAATCTATATTGGATCCAGAAGAAGTTGCTTATTGGAAGAATGCTTACTTTAAAAAACAGCATCATGATCATCTTGCTGACCAAATCCAAGCATTACTTGACAATACAGATGAATTCATAGTAATTATAAACACATTCTCTAATATTAATACAGATGTCAAGGCATGTTTACAGGATATAATTGATTGTCAAGTGGATAAACTTTCGACCTTCAAAACCGAATCTCAACTTCAAAATAGGGTTAAACATTTCTGGTTAGAATCTACTGATCAATTACTAATTCTTCAATGCGATGTCACCACCGTGAATGCTGGTTGTATTAAATTGGCCAAATTTATTATTGAACAATTTCGAAATGAGTTCTTGACGAAAAGGAAACAAAAACCTGACATTAAAACACTAAAAAAGCATGCATGTATTATTTTGCATATCCATCGAGAACAAGAAACATCGTTGACGTCGTTTAATTTTATGTGCGGATGGAATCAAGTTACTATTGAAACTTTGTTACCACAAGAGAAACCGTTATCGATCCTTTTAAATGGAAGTCTTTGCAATATTATTAATACAACTTACCCATTTGAAGATATTTTGGAGCAAGAACTTTTATGGTGCTTGCTATGCATGAAATACCCTTCTAATACTAGATCTGTTGAACATATTAAGTAAGTTTATTAATTATCCTCATTGTTAATTTCATAAGTATATTCGTTCAAAAGTATCATAAAATTCTAAAATTTGTTAATTATTTACAGGTTATTAAATTCGGAGATTTATAACCACTCAAATTTGCTTGAATGTTTAAAAGTTCAAACACAAGAATGGCTTCAGAATCATTCGCCAGCCAATTGGCAATATATTGTTGCATCCGACAAAAAATTATTATATCCTTATGCATCTTTCTCAATCGCTTTACAGGCTCATATTCGTAGATCTGTTCGAAAACCAATTGCTAGAATCCTATGCGCACTTGAAAGACTATCAGTAACTAGAACATTCTTTTCTATTGATAAAATAAATAAATCAGAGAATGATATTCGACTTCTTGAGTTTTGGATGAAAATGTTCAACGATAAAAAAATAATAGACATTAAAGAGCTACCCGAACCATCTCCTGACAGTTACATAATGCCACCTGGAGTATATGACCTACAATTTCCATTTTCATACTATTTTATGAAACAAATAGATGGTTTTAAAGCACTTTATTTAGAGGAAATAGCTTTACTGCATGAAGATCCAATGAACATCGACTCGGGAACCGGAGAACTTATAAAATCAGTAACTGAAGAACATATAAAAGAATTCACTAACAAAGTTCTTAACATGGTTCCACTTCTTAAAACATCACCTATCGATTGGGCTTCAATATTATACTTTAAAGATTTTGTAACCGTGATCGCCTATAATGAACCAGGCGATAAGGATCCTGCATTGCTTGAATTAATATTTGAGCAGAGACTTGGAAAAGACAAGCTATTAAACCCCATACTTTTACATACATGTTGGTGGAAACATGGTGATTCTATTATTTCAGAACTTCGGCTGGCCCAAATATGTCCAACAATTGTCAAACAAGTTCACTATAAACCACATACCATCTTTGAACAATTCCTTGTTGAAGGTGCATCAAAAATGATGTTGCAAAAGATTTGTGATGGGACTCATGGCGAAATAATTCATCATGGTGAAATTGTTAATTGGCAACATGATGTCACTCAAATACTTTCACTTAGCAAAAAGATTTCTAGTTCTTCGGCTTCAAAATCCCTTCAACTATTGCAAATTTCTAATGATTTGCTTTCCACGGAATCTATAACTCGTCCTAGCATTACACAGATCATTAACCTTGGACAAAATAATAACTTTAAAGAGTTTCTCTCTTGGAAGTTTGTTGACACAATTTTGAATATTTTGGATAAACTTGAGAAATCAGAGAAAAATTTGAATTCTCGAAGAGCGTTCATTTTGAGATGTCTTGATATTATTCCACTTGAATCTTCTGTACGATTAAACCTTTACCGTGGATTATTTTCACAGATACCATTCCCACTTATGGGTTCTATCATAAGTAAAATTTTTAAGACAGAAGAAGGAAAAATTAATAATGTTTTCTTCCGTTTGATTCAAGAACCAACAGAAATTTTAACAATTTCACAAAGGCTCAACGTAGTTAATAGTTCTATGAAAATTACCGATCTTAATTCTGAAATAGCAGCGTTATGTTGTGATATCATTCAACTTGAATTTTTCTGGGAATATAATCTGAATCAATTAGCACCTTATTTCCGGAAAGCAGTTGACGCATTACATAGTTCCGGAGTTCAACCGCTGCAAAGAATTGCCTCTATCGCTATTCTCAAGGAATTTGTTCGAAGATTATGGGATTCTATTATTCCGGAGGGTATTGACCAAGCAATCAAGTTCCCAGTTGTAGGATTTAATCCATTTAGTGGCCCCGCACTCCTAGAAGATATTAACAGTTCTATGAGTTTGACACATCAATTAATACATTCGTTAAAAATTTACTTCCTCCGAGATTTACGTCAACGTGGTTATGCTATCGATGATGTGAAAAAATTCGGTGAAGCGCAGGCAGAAATGTTACCATGGTTCAACAGCTTTTCATGGGATAACGATGATGAAAGTCGGTTACCATTCAATCCTTATTGGTCCGTGACCGATTACGCTGAGATTGAAAAAGCGTTTTCTAATTTATATAACTTCAACAACAAGGCGCCTTTAAATAAATTCCTAGATCGAATTCGGATAAATGATTCAATTGATGCACGGATAGCAATAATAGGAATTATAGTGTCAAAACTTCATGCTTTTAGAGCTTCGCGTAAATTAGTTGATGCAGAAAAGCAAACAGCAGACTATATAAATAAAGAAATTACTGAAATTAGCAATTTACCTGAAATTTATAAACAAACAGTAAATAGAATTTTAATAAATAAATCCTCACTATTTCAACTCTCACCTCAAATGACTAGCGCTGAACTGATTATGAAGTCCGTTATCATACATATTATTGGGGCGCATGCTTCTTTATCTCCAGAATCATCACCTTTGGCCGCTTATTTACATAAATTACAAGAGTGTCAGGATCAATATATTCTAGCATGCCCATCTGATATTGAATCTGTTGTATTTAACGGTAAGCTTTTTACCTTTACTATTTAGTTTTACTAATTATTATTTCTCACTTTTATTATTGACTAAAATTATTTATTAATAAAATATAATAACTCTTTCAGCAATTTCTGCCGGTGGAGTTTCTAGGTAATTATCAAATTGTAAATGTGTTTGAATGATTTATTATTATTTTTGTACTGAATATTTCTCATCATTATAATAGATACGTATGTAAATGCGGATTTAAATATGTTATAGCAGACTGTGGCGGAGCCGTCATTCAAAGTAAATGCCCGGAATGTAAAAATACTATCGGTGGTATGAGTTATAACATAGCGGCAGGTAACAGGCGATTAGACGCTGCTCCTATTTCCTCGGTGGCATCAAACGACCAGGCAGGATATATCGCGGAATCCATCAATAATACATTGTCATTCTGTGTTCGTTCTATGTTGCCAGCTTCTTATCGAATTCTACATTTGTTCGTTCATACTATTATTTCAGCATCCGCTCCTTCTACAATTGCCACCGCATTCATCAAGAAAAATAATAATAATGTTAATGATGTTGAGAAATATTGTATGGAACATATTCGGAATGATTGGAATATGCTAAAGCAAATTCTTGATGTTTCAGATGAAAATTTAGCTCTATTAATTCATTCAATCCTTACCGAAATGGTCAATAACCCACCATCTCAACATAATAAGATTCTTACAACGTCATTCTCTAGAGACGGATGGGAAAGAATGTTTTCTCAGACTTATGTTATTCCAAAAATTCGAAGTGTTACTGAAGTAACCACAAATTTCCGTGCTAAATTAGATCAAGCAATCCGAGATGCTCAGGTTACTAGCAATATTCTTGAAGGTGAAATAAACCAAACATTACCAATGGATGAAGAATATTGTCGAGAATATTTGCCAAGAATTTTCCGAACAATCGCGAAAACTAGTTTTGAAAGTTTCAGAGCTTACTATTATAGAGATATCAAATATAATGCCCAAACCTTTCCATTCTTGGACATCTATTTTAAGCATTACGAAAAATTACCACACATCAAAAATCTTTACCCCATAGTCACATTCGTCCAAATAATGGCATCACGACTTGAATATCGATTAACCAGAAAAGAAGCTAACCAAATAACATTCAGAAAATTTATTCAAGATCAATCGATCAATGGTCAGTTGCAAGAAACATATGAATCTTTATCTTCGGCCTTTAATGATTTTGCCAATGCTTGGAACGAAATGATAGGCTATGTGACTAGATATCAATGTCATCAACTTCCAGAAGAAAAACCACACATTGATATTAATAGTCCTATAGTATTTGGATTAATGGAAGGAAGGGATACTGGTATTTATTTATGCGCGATTCTAGAATATCTGGTTACTTTACAGAATAATTTCTTGCAGGAAGTCATGGCTATTCCTGGTGGATCATGTCATTCTCTTAATTTCTTACGAGAACTTTCTTGGGTAACATATGAAAATGTCTCATCATCTTCAACAAGTCCTACACCTGCTTTAGTAGTAGAGACACCAAGTCCTTACTTTATACAATCAAAAAAACTAGATACATTGCAAGAAATTAACTTTATCAATTATACGTGGAATAAAAATGTTCTACAATATAGCCAGCATAATCTTGGAATCGGTCGTGGTCGAGATATAATATATAATCTTCAAAAAATAGAAATGGAACTTACTTATCAACTTGTTGCAGATAAAGTTCATATAGCTGGCGGAGCTGAGCAACAATTATACTTGGAACCATTCATATATCATATGGAGTTATTCCAAGGATCAATGAGAATCTTGGGAGAGATCAAAGTTTTAATTCCACAAGAACCGATTCCATCAGACAAATTATCTTTAATTATTGGCACATCAAACAATCCGTTTTCTTCATATATGCATCAACAACCATCATTATCTAATTATTTCATTGACAATGCGTCAGAACTTTTCTCATTCCTGGAAATTCTCATTTGCTTTATTAAAAGAACATCAATTGGAGATGGAAATTTGTCAATAAAAGAATTCGTAAATCAATGGATGAAACTTTCTACATTGGCAGAAAGTACAGGATTTAAATCATTACTAGGAGTTGATTTGCAACTTAAACATGTAATAGCATTATATGAATTAGTCGAAGAACAAATGGCAAACATGGCAGTTAAATACATACATGAGAAACTCCGAGTTCCACTTGAACCGTCTATGGAAAATGAAATTATGGACGCAATAGATTTTGATCAAAAATCTACACAACAGCAAAGATTACCCGCAGAAGCATTTACTATAGCGCTTAAACGATTCATGCAAAGATTTTTGTCAGTAGAAAATAATATGAATAAGCATCCACTTGGTACATACCTTACGGATATGACTTTAAGTCTATGGCCCTCAGGTATTGATGAAGAGTTAGTAGATGAAATGTTTCCAGTGTCTTTGTTAGTGGAGCATATCTACGAGGCCTATAAATTTACTTTGTCTAGGATTGAGGTAAATAATTAAAGTTTGAATTTTCATTAAAAACAATATTAAATTTGAAATAAATATGAAAATTGAAATATTTTATAGGTATCAATGAAAAAGCAGCATCCCTCAACATTGAATAGATCAAATTCTATTAATACTGGGTCGGTTCAACCATCAGCTTCTGTATCGACTAATAGAAATTTAGGATCTAGTGGAACTATTTGAAAACTTTCATTTTTTAAAATTAGAATTATTTAACCGGTTGTATGCTAGCAATTGTATTATAATCATTCCATTCCATGTAATTAGGTCCATTTTTTTAATACTAATTATAAAATTTAATTTTATGAAGTTTTTTTTATAATTATTTATTTATATTGGCAAAGTCAATCATTAAATAATTAAGCACAAATTATTCTTTGTTTATTACAATGTCTCAAGTGAATTGAAGATTTCATTTGTAATTCGCTTAATAATCCTATATAATAAACTTCAGAACACAACATATAAATTTAATATGGTTTGAATTTCAGTTGGGATTAATTTTACTTTTAATTTAGAATTCATGTAATTTTCGATCGCGTTGTGTATCAGGTACGTGCATTTTCTGATTAGAAGATATGAGTGCTACCAAGAGAAAACATGTACTGTTCAGACTTCTAAAAATATTATATTACGTAAATATAATCGCCGATGTCTAAAATATCGACCAATTTGATGTTCTTGTAATAGAATATAAATGTCGATCTTTGACCAATCAAATCGATTAAAGAAATTCAAGATGTAAAGTATTTACGCCTGTTTTAAGATCCAAAATCCACTTAAGTGGATTCTGAATCCTTAGAATTCTGGATCCATTTGCAATATATATTTATAATTCAGAGTTCTATAACATAGATATATCGATATATTATTTTACTAAGAGTCGACTAAGCCGATCTTCCGAGCGATTTAGCCATTGTTACCCTTTGAGTCACGGGTTAATTTTAGATCACGGGGTGCTGCGCCTAGTGATGTGAGCGCATTGAGGTAATTAGTTACGACACTTTGTAGCAAAGTTGCAACTTTTTTGTAGTATTGACGTAGATAGTAACTTTGATAGTATCAAATGATATAATGTGGGTCGTAATTATAGTAGTATGTAGTATTAAGCATATTACGTAGTATAATAGACTATTTATACGTATATGTAATTATTTTTTATAGTTATTATTATACGGTATTATAATAAAGATTTTACGTTCTCTTTTCTTTTTTTTTAATATTTTTAAAAAATAAGTCAAGAAAGCGAAAATACAATTGATACCATGAATTCTAGTTCAACTAATATTGCTACCTCTAGTTCAGCACGCTTAAATAAAAAACAAAAAACCAGTGGCCCTAATTTTGATGAAATCTGGTCATTTTACCAACAAGGACCTAATAAAGGCAACGGACATTATAAGGCAACTCATTTTTATTGTTCAACTTCCTGGGAGCATGGAAAACCACAAACTATGAAGGCTCATTTAGCCAATTATTGCTCAAAATGCCCTGAAAATATTAGTAGTTATTGGCAGCAAAAATTAGTTGAAAAATCTAACAACTCTAGCAACTTTAAAGAGTTGTTTAAATAAATCACAAGATGATAATTTTCATCCTCAAGAAAAACAACATCAAATTGACCAATCATTATTAAAAGCATGGGTTGTATCCGGAATTCCATTCGAAGTAATAAAGAACCCTTTTATACAAGATTTATTCAGAAAGTTAAAATACAATTCACCCTCAAGATTTACTCTTTCTAGACAGCTCCTAGATACAGAATTAGCATGAGTAACCAATTTGGTTAATGAAGAACTCGAATATTGTAATAATCTAACCTATTGTTACAATGCTATGGCCTTCTTTGTAACCACATAGCATGGTAACAAGGTCACCCAGTGCAGGGATTCTGCTATTGGGTGGATGTGAAGTACAATTAAGTATCCACAGCAGAAGGTAAACAGTTTGGTATTAGAATAGTGTATTTTTAATTATAGAACAAGAGGATAACCTCCTTTAGAGATCCTAGAGGGAGTTATATATTACAAAAGAGAATTACAAGACTAATTTCATGAGAGAGAGGTAATAGAGATCTATCTAAGAGCTATAGATATCTGTATAAGATCTGTCTTTAAAAGAAGGAATTAATGCTCTCTTTATATACCTTTTACAGAATAGAAGAAGGAATTAAGGGTAATGTAACATTGTATTTGAAAGAGTTGAGGGACATGCTTGAGGGAGTTGAAGACTGTGTTGAGAGAGTAGGAGGCCATGTTGAGGAAGTAGAAGGAGTTGAGGGAGATGAGGGATATGTTGAGGGAGTTGGAGGCCATGTTGAGGGAGTTGAAGGTATAGTTGAGGGAGTAGAGGGCCATGTATAACTTTAGCCATATTATGTACTATAGTGGCTTTAACTCTCTGTTAAATACTTATACTAATATAATATACATAATACAAATATAATAAATAAAAATATCTAATATAAAATACAAGTTTATAAATATAAAACTAAATAATATAAATATAAAATATAATTAAACTATAAAATATCAACTATGCTAAACTACTTTATATTGTAAAAATCTGTTTTACAACAATATATTTACATATAATTTTTATTAATTATATTTTAATTGTTTAGTATTAGATGGTTGTACTTCACCATGGTCAGATTCTATATATAACTTTATTGTATCTATGACAGACAAAAAAGAATATCTTCTAAAACTACAAAACTATTTATCTAAAGTACTTATGGGTGAATTTTTATTATCTGAAATTTTAAATTTAATTGAAGAAGTTGGAAGTGAAAAGTTTGCTGAGTTGTCACAGATGCAGGCTCTAACTGCTGTTTAGCAAGAAAAAAAATTCAAGAAATATATTCCCATATTTGGGATATACATTATATAGCACATACAATTAACCTAATTCTATTTGATTTAGTAAAAGAAAAAATATTAATGAATTTATTAGTAAATGCAATAAGGTTGTTAAATTTTTTGAAGAATCACATCATAGTAATTCATATCTATGACAAGGCCTAAGTATGATGAAGGTCAAATTGGAAGGTCTTCAAATGTGATGCCAAACTCAATGAACATCTTTATATTTTACTACAGATTTTATTTTGCAGACTAGGCCTGTATTTGATTAGGTTAGTACAAGTTTTTTATTTTTTTATTTTTTTAATTAAAATTTGTAATTTTTTTTATTAGATAATGTTAGAACATCAGCTTATTATTTCTAATAATGAAGTTCTTGCATTATTAATAGATAAAGAGTTTTTTATATATGTTGATATATTAAAACAATTTAGACACCAATTAAGGATATTATTACTATCTTACATAGTTTAGCCATTACACCTCTTATGTGTAGAAAAGTTATAAAAAGAGAGCCTACTAGAAAGTAGTATAGCAAATTTAGCCAATTGTTTTAATTACTTAATTAAACTTGCAGTAGCAATTGATTGCATCTCTTTATTAAATCCCTTCAAACAAGTAGCAATCAGAGTTTTCAATTAATGTTTTAAAAAGTTTCATCACTCTATATATCTTTTGTTATATTATTTATATTCATATTACTGTAGTAAGTATTTAATATTTATTATATAGCATGAATTATAGTATCTATTTCTATTATAGAAATTAACTATTCTATAATTTATTATTAACTATGTTTGTTATATTTATATAACTAAAAGTTATATAAAAAATTTAGAAATAATAAATTTCTATAATAAAAATAGATATTATTATTTAAATATTTAAAGTCTAAAAAATTTTTAATTTTAGAACATGGGCTAAAAAATGGTAGTTTTTGTGAATCAGCTCTTATTGCTACTTTACTTTGGCAAAGCCTCAATTATACAAAACAAAAAAGTAGAAAGCTAGTTACACAACTTCGATAGTATGATACAGAATTACCACCCTATAATTTACTATATACAATTGAAATGGATACACCAATTTTATAATAGAAGTTAATTAAAAATAAACCACAACATTTAGTTGAATTAGCACTTTGTCTCTTCTCAATTTCTTTATCTCAAGCCAGCTATAAAAGAAATTTTTCCAGTTTAAAATGGATAATTGGTACTAAAAGAGTAAAGTTAAGTGTTGAAAAATTAAAAAGTATAACAAAAGTGCGGTTATCCAATATAAAATCAGAATTAAATAATTATAGAAATGAAATTACTGAGATGGAATTAAGAGAGGCTGTCAATATTTCTGCAATTGCTAAAGTAATGACTTCAGAGGAAGACTTATTCAATTCAGAAAAAATATCTGAAAACCTTGAATATATACAAGACATATTAAATATTAGTAAGGTTGTTGACTTGTCTAAATATAACTTAGACAATGAAGAGAATCAGATATGATATGAAGCATACTAGTACTAGTATATTAAGTGATTCGGAAATTATGAAGTATTTATTTAAAGAGTTAGTTGATGAATTTTTAGCTGAAAAGCTAAATTTTACTTAGTATATGAATTAATTTAAAATATGAAACTGGTTAATACATAATTATAATTAATTTTTATGTAATTCTTATTAAAGAATAACCAATAAATAATGTTAAGAGCATTGACAACTGCATCATAAATAACAAATAAGGAGATAGTAGTATAGATAGTGTATATATGCTCTTTTGTTCAATAATAATTTCACAAATACAATATAAATTTGAAATTTTTTTGGCTTATTAAAAGTGGCATTCAATTTATATAATATATATTATTTGAACTAGTTTCAGATATAATATCCTTACTGTTAATATTAACAATATAAGCTATTTTTAGTCATAACAATAATAGTTTGGGCTTTTATGATTAAAAGTTTTAAGTCTAATCTAAATTCTAGAGTTGGTTTTAGACAAAGGTTGTGAACTAATTTCTAACTATATTAATATAACCAGATTTTTTAAGATAAACTTCTTAACATTTTAATTAATTGAGTTTATACAATAAGACAGGTATTACAACCTATGATGATAATTATGGCCTTGGGCATTTATTATAACACATGCTACATATTACAAACAACAATAATATATTATTTGTGCAACTACTCCAGTATTGCCTGAAAAAATTCACTATCACATAATAGTGTGGCATATTGTAGATCAAAACATGACTTAGTCAACTAATCAATTCGCTTTGATAAGAAGACAAAAATGTGAACATCAAAGAAACTTTTAAAAAAAACCACCAAATTTTTGCTGGAGACATAAGTGCCAGGCATAGTGCTATAAAAACATCATGTCTGAGTAGCCAGGTACGATGTTTTTATAGTATCATGCCTGGTACTTAAATTCATTCACTGATAAGTATGAACAGTAATATTATTCAAAGTTTTCTTATATTCTCTAAATAGAGGTTATTTATTTTATATAATCTTCATTCTTTTTAGCGAAAGATGAACACTACCAATTTATCGTGTTATAGTAAAATAAAACTGTGCTCATCATCTTTATCATTTATTATAAAATAGTACCACATCTATGGTGATTTTGTATCTATTATGCTTTATTATATTTTTTCGATTTTTCTAAGTTTTGAATATAAAAATTTTTAATCCAAAATTTTTATGTTAGTGATGGTATTTAGAGTTAGAATTAGAATTTAGGAGAAGTTTTTAGAGGCATAAAGCATTTTTACTTAGAACATCTTACACTAATAGATTAGCTAGTTTTTGAGATAATATATATATAGGTATAAAATACTATAGGTACATTTTAGTAAAAGTCTTTTTTATTATGTTTTAAAATTCTAAATTTCAATAGAAGTAAAATAGCCTTGGGCAAAAAAAAAGAAAAACATTAAAATAAAATTGGAACTAGATAATGAATTCACGTTATATTTTATACTGTATTAAAAAGCTAAAATTGAAATTGAATGTAAATATATTTAATTATTTAATTTTAATTTGAAAATAAATAAATACATATGATTTAGAATATTAATTACAATTATAAGTAATCAGATTCAATATTTATAATAACTGAATAAATTTTTGGAAAAGTTCAATTCAAATAAATATCTATAGTCTCAGAATAATGCTTATAGAAAACTAAACCCCACTAAAATGCGGTCTTGAGTTGAGTATTCTGAATTAACATGCATTTCAATATAGTGGAACTACTTCCAAGCTTAACAAAAATTGTTTCTCACATTGAAGCAAGTAGGTTTACTTGATACCTACCTAGTTCTGGTACATTTTTTTAATCTTATGATTAAAAAGCCAACTCTTATTTTGAAATAATGCATATAGGCATACTCGAAAAAATGCATAGGTGAGTGTTATTCTGAAGCTATAGTTGTAAAGAGATAGATTATCTCTTCAAAGATTCTAAATCAAAGCCACGTTAAACCTGTGATGACGAAACAGACATGATCAGGGTAATGATCACGAATCAAACGACATGTGACCACATAATTGGGACGAACGGATTATGCGCATTAATTATGAAGTAACCAATGAGTAGTTTAGTAATTAATTGATAAGTAAAGCATTAATTATATAGTCATTAATGAGTAGTTTATTAGCAAGTAGCATTAATTATATAGTTATTGGTAAAAGCAATTAATA